ACACCCACCAATGGCAGGATGTTCTGATTGTAAGCAAAGTTGATATAACCTCTTACAGTTTATGGTCAAGAATCCTGGAAACATGAGATGGAGTCTAGGCCGTATATAAGATATAACAAATTAAACAAGAATAGGAGGTCCCATCCCAATCAGACAAAGTAAGATTGCCCACTCCCAGAAACCCCATTCTTATTGAAGCTATAAAAGGAAAAACTCACAAATCACCACAGAACTTGATATAATTGAAATGATAATAACATACATCAAGTGCTGCTGGCTGCAGACCCCATCTTTGCCTCTGACTGTTAGTTATGTGCACCCCTGTCAGGCCTTACCTATCAGGCAGTAGGGATATACTCCAGTCATGCCCAACTAAATCAGACTGCTAATACCCCTAGTCCACTTCTAAGTCATCCCACTGAAGTACAAGGAAACAGTACATGTTGTATGGGAAATCCCACTAAAAATAATGTAACAGCAGACTGTAGAAACTCTCACTACCAAAACTACCATTGTTCCCCCAACAGGAACTTTCTTTGTGGAGATGGACCATATCACTCGTCACTGACTTATGAAGGCTCCTATGCCTTGGCCATCCTCATCCTGGACTTGTCCATATACACATCAGATGCTAGGACCCCACTAATCTTTGGGCCCCTTCTGATAGAAAAAAATAAGGTCCTGTAATATTACCCATTCTTTTTTTTTTTTTTTTTTGGTACCGGGTATCGAACTCGGGTCCTTGCGCTTGCGCAGCAGGCGGTGAAACCACTGAGCTAAATCCTCGGCCCAATATTACCCATTCTTGAAGGCCTCGCTATTTCAGTAAATCTCACTTTTGGAGCCACAGCTGTTGGTCTGGGACAATAATAATACAGTGCCCTTGGATGGCTGATCACCGATGACCTAGATGCTGTCCAAAGAGCCCTGGGAGCAATACAAAATCAAATAGACTGTTTGGCAGATGTAGTCCTCCAAAACAGGAGGGGCATAGACTTGTTGACAGACCAACAAGGAGACACCTGCCTGCTCCAGGGAGAAGAATGTTGTTATTATAGCAACCAATCAGGAGTAGTCAGAGAAAATGTACAACAAAGAAAGGATCAAACAGTACAAAAAGAAAGATGAACCACAAGAATCCTGGTGGGATACACTAAGTTACTAGAGACCATGGCTGGGGGCCATATTAGGACCATTGTTCGTCATTCTCCTACTCCTAACAATAGGGCCCTGTTTCTTAAACTGGTTCATACACTTTGTCTCCCAATGCCGCAATTCTATAAAGGAATCTTAACAACTTATGGTGATGTCAGAATCAGACACATGTACACCTGCCAAAATATAGACTCTCCAGATAATCAACTAGGGTCAAAAAGGGGAGGGAATGAAAGGAAAATAAACTTCTCTGTAGCTGAAGCTGGACTTGCTAACAGGGAAAGATAACTTCCCTCCAATTCTCTTAACATTCCTGAGTCTGCTGGGCTCCGCTCCCTCAAACATCTCAGGAATTTTCTTTGTTCTGCCTTCCTACCATATGCAAATAAGATAGAACTCAGTGTACTGTGAACCCGCTGTGTGTGAAATTCTAACCAATAAGGTTGCTGGACCCAATATAAATAAAGAATTGGAACTTGTAAACCTGCCCCTTCCCTAAGTGTATAGCAACCCAGCTGTGGCTGAATGGCGGGGTCAGTCTCTTTGTGGAGAAGTCACAGACTGACCCACCAGTGTTAAGAATAAAGCTGTACACTTTGCCTCTGAAACTTCTGGGTATGTCCTCCATTCTCCTGGACTATGTGCATTGAGCTGCTGTATATACTGGCTGGCACTTTGGCACTACAAAAGTATCTGGGAATTTGAGGTCGTGCGCATAGTGTAATTTTTAGTGGATGAGAGAACATAAGATTATAATTTTTCAAACAATGGGAGTGTTCATTCCTTTTTATCATAAGCTATTTTGAGGTACGGTATTCATTTCTGCTTATAGGGTGACTCGTTTCACCCTATGGTAACTTCAGAATGATGACTCAATGAAAAACATCAGCTGCTTTGGACAAGCATCTTCACTTGAAACAGTGTATTGGGGCAGCATTCTGAATTTGTCAAAGTTTTGATCACTCTGGCTGGTGTATTAATTTGGGGCCCACCATTTTTTGGTTGAAAATTGCTTATTTCTCATCAATTAATATACATTTAAATTCAGAAGAAAAATTGGGAAAAGACAACTGACTGTAGGTGTTTATCTCTGCTCAGAATTGAGGCTGAGGACCTGAAATTTCATCCTGTGAAGATAGCTAAGTAGGAGATGAAGAGGCCCCCAATTTAAATTTCCTGGTTTCTCATTTTTCCCTGTCTCATCCCCTGTGATTTGGCTGTGTGGGCTGCATGGCACAATGTGTTGTGTATAACCTCAAGAGTGTGTTCAACCTTCTGAGTGTGGGCTCTTTTGGGAACTGCAATGAAGCGGGCTTCTTCCCCACCCAGCTTCCCTTTTGCTTCTTTTGCAGCAAGTTGCTTGCATAAAATACAGGTTACTATCCACTTGAGAATTTATATTTATGATTTAACCATAAGATTATGATTTTCCTAGTTAAAAATGGAGTGAAGAATTGATTACATTTGAAGAGCAAAGAAAAATTAAAAGGGTTTTTTTTTTTGCATTCACCATAAATATGCCTAAAGATACATATAATTATGATGCATGTGAACACCACTTATGGTTCCTTCTAGTACATCTCTCTGATTTCATCTAGCTACCCCCAGTGTGAGCACAGGATGGATTTTCTGAAGTCTCTTTAGACCTTAGCAATCTCATTAAGCAAAGTGTTATTTGGTTTCAAGTCTTTGGAATTCTGAATAAGTTAATAATTGAAGTTAGTAGATCATTACTATTATTCTGGAAAGATTATTTGTGGTTTCTTTGCCTGAATTTGTTGTCTGTAGGATTGTAAGAAAATTTATGTTTCAGCCACTCAACTTCCTTACTCTACTTCCTCTGGGCTTAGGTTATTTCAAGTTCATTATTAAAATTATTTTCTGATATTAAAAATGTTATTATTGAATTTTTCTTTAGGTAATAATGAATTAGAATTTTTCGTAGAATAAGAAAAATGCTAGCATGCAGGTGAAAACAAAATCTGTATAAAATTTTCATAGGAAATTTTCATCTAATATTTTATATATAGGTGGTTTTATTGTGTTTTACCAACAGGAATAGTTTAATTTTTGTATTTTAATTTTTGTATTTAATTTTTTAATAGTTTAATATTTGTCCATCCAGTCATATATTATGAAATCCTTAATACTTAAATGAGCTTTTCATTTGAAACAAGTGTCTTAAAAATTTGTGATTTCATCTCTAATTCTTAGACATATTTTAAATATGTTGATTTTCAATTTCACTTCAATACCTCTGAGTCTGTTTTGCATGAGTTTTAGTTCTTTGAACACAGTTAAGTTTTTTTTCTGTTTCTTTACTTCTATTCATACATGTTTGCAGTATATAATGATTAAATTCATTGTAGGGAGTTGGTACATGTCCATAACACATTTCAATTCTTTATTTCCTCCCTAGAATTTAAGTTCTTTCATGTTGACTTGACCATGGTCTATTTGGGTGAATATTTCTTGTGATTTTGAGAAGACTGTGTACTATATAGTTACTAGGTAAAGTATTATACAATATTAAATCAATCCCTGTGAAGCATGATGCTATTTTAACTGTTCCTTTACAGATTTTTGTGCCTCCATCAGCTATCAATTACTGAATGGATTTTTTTTGAAATTTTCAGATATATGTGAGAATCAATGACTGGTAGAGTATGTATCAGGACTGTTCTTTTTAGAGAACTGCCTTTCATAAATGATCTGATCGCTGTAATTATTATCTACTTTTAGATACAAATAGAATAATATCAAATTAATATATCTTCTGCTGAATCAATGTTAGACTACTGTTGGTTTTTGCATAACTTTGTATTTAATCTATCTTTGTAAATGTCAACATAATCATTCCTGTGCAGGTGGGCATAGCATTGGTACCATAACCCAGATGTGTAGACATTGATCATATCTGATATCTGTTCCCTGTTGTTCTGCTAATGGGCAGTATAGAGTTTGACCTCTGCTGGTGTTCTGTGGGTCTCCTGTTTGCAACTGTGCTGCTTTGCCTATTTGCCCTATGTGTGAATGATAACTCATCTTTTCATACATAAGTGCGGACACACAGATACAAATTAATGTGTACTTTCTTAATGGTGATTTAGTGTTTAAATATTTTGGAATAAAATTTATTTTCAAAATTATTGGTGATATTGAACAATAATAATAATGTAAGTATCCTAGGAATATTCAGAAAATTTCATCATTGGGCTTGGGCAATGGAGAGTACCCAGTTGATTGATTCCCTACCTGACTTGAACCTCTCTTTCCCTATGACTCTCCCACTTTGGTGACTTTTCCTAAGGTTACCATGTGTGATTCTCTATTAATTGTGTTATTTCAGTTTCCTCCCTTAGAATTTTCAATAAGTGAGTATTATAGAAATTGCAAAGAGAAATATTTTCAGAGGCTTTTTTTTTTTTGGTCTCATTATTGTTCACATGTGCTGATATCGGGGATATCAGGGGAATCAAGGGCAACATGTGAATCAAGGGCCCTGTGAATCAAGGGCAACATGCTTTCTCATCCATTCCATTGATCATGTGGTTCAGGAGTTTTCAAGTTTACCTAAAAGAGAATCACATCTATCTCCAGGAATAATAACACAGTGTTCTCTCTGGACATTGGAAAGAAGTCACTGAACTGTATATTTTGCCAAACTCCAAAGTAAAAGAAATGAGTGTACAGTGTATTATTTGATTTTCTGTTCTTGCATAAGTCTGTTTCCTTATTGTATTCTTATACACTTCATTTTATTTAGTAATTTTCTCAAAAAAGCTTTGGTTCTTGTTTTCTATTCAGTGTTTTTGCTTGAGTTAGATATGTTGTCAAGTTTTTAGATTTGTGTTCATCATCTTTGCTCCCTGTACAAAATTATTATACAGTGTATGTAGCAAATATTTCTTGTCTTGTATATATCCCATGATTGTCTTCTGAGGACACTTTTTTTCACATCAAAGTTATTTCACCATGAATTCTCAAGGAATTCAAGTTTGTTTCTTATTTCAATATGTAACTTAATTATTGTACATAGAATAGAAGAGTATACAATTCAGGCTTCCAAATACATACCTGATTCTCCCTGCACATAAATGAAGTAGATTGTGATTTCTTCCAGGACCCAAAACACTAGATGTATCATGAATTAATATTCTGTTTACATGTGGACTCACTGAAGACTTTCTTGCTTGAGATCCACTTGTCATTCTCTCCACTAATGGTACAGTCTCATGAAAGGTGGAATTTGAATGTCTTTCATGTATATTATGTAAGCTATCACCCTTCTTGCTTAGAAGGTATTGAATGTTGTTAGACTTTTATTATGCTATTTTTTTTAATTGAAAGTGTCATTTGTAAATGACATGATTTTGAAGCTTTCCTTTTTTGGGAGAGAGTTTGAGGCACAATCTCACATTGTATTTCAGACTGGTCTTGAATTTACTATGTAGACAAGGGTTGCCTTGAACTCATGGCACTCCTCCTGTATCAGTCTCCAAAGTGATGGAATTACAGGCATGTACTACCACACCTGGCTGGATTTTCCTTTTGTGCCTAACTACTTTGTGACATATTGGTTTTCAATGTATATCGTATATTTTATTCATCTTCCCTTCATTGCTCTTCCATACTCCCCTAGAATCTCCTATCTAAGAATACAAGGTGGCCATTTGATGATACTGAGTTACAAGATAATATGCCAGGCTTTCCCTCTTTTCATTGTTCATAGACTCGTTCCAATAAAACTTTTCCATGAACATTTTAATTAGCATTTATAAACCTTATTTGATGTTCAATTATGTTCTTTTCTGTGAAGCCAAATTTAAGTTTCAAAATGCTGCCTAAGTACAATCAAAGAAAGAAAGATTCAATGCCATAAATGATAAGATTTGAAGAGATACTACCTATGGTTTATCAAAGCCATTCATGGGCCAGGGATTTACCTCAGTGGCACCACCCCTGCCTCACAAGCACAAGGTCCTGAGTTTGATCCCTGACATTGGAAAAAAAAAAAGACATTCATTAGCTATTCATCTGCCCCAGTGTTTTATGGATTGTAATCTTGTAGGCACTGTCTGTGAGCTCTGCTGTAGAGACAGTGCACAGATACCCTTGCAGTGACTGAGGAGTAAGAACCACTGCTCCTATTCTGCTGGTGTTTTAGCAGTGAATAGCAGTCTGGCATCAGAATTGCTATCTGAAAGAAATGTGCATACAAATGGAATTGATGACCAAGACATGGAGTTAATATTTGAAGGATTCAGCCTCCACTCAGTTGTTTTGTTTTGTTGAGACAGGGTCTCACTGTGTAATTCAGGTTCCCCTTGAACTCACTGTGTACCCCACACTGGTCTTGAAATCATGGTGATCCTCCTACCTCAGCCTCCTGAGTGCTGGGATTACAGACATGCACCACCACACCTGGCTCTCAATTTAACTTTTTATGAGAGTTGAGATATCCCAAACTGTGAGTCTCAACCTTCCTTTGAGAAATATCTGTACGATGTTTAGGAGACAGTGACCTTTGAGGATGTGGCTGTGAACTTCACCATGGAGGAGTGGGCTTTGCTGAATCTATCTCAAAAGGAACTCTACAGAGATGTGATGTGGGAAATCTTCAGAAACATGGCAGCTATAGGTAAGATGACATTACTCAATCAGAGAATGTTGTTTGTTGCTCATCAGTGCAGTTTCATTCAATAAAATGTGAAAACATTTTGAAGAATATCTCTGGCCTGGTTATATTATGTCAGGAATTTAACTTAAATCTATTAAATTTTATGTAATAATGCAGTGATTCTTTATATTTCTGTGTCTGCAATTCAGGGAGAGACTGGGATGACTGGGAAGTTGAAGAAGAGTATGAGACTTACTGGAGAAATCTAAGGTAATTTGCACTCACAAGGAAAAAGAATGTTCCTCAGTGTGTGAGCAGAAATATGACAAGAAAATGAGGCCATGTTCGAATTTATTTAGTTTCACAAATGTTCTCCAAAGATGTATACAGCTTGAGTAAGTGTAATCTGACAATTGAATATGGAAATATTCCAACATAGGAAACTGAGTTAGTACTGATATCATGCAACAAGTGACACTATCTGACATAAAAGTATAAACGTGGTCAACATCATGAAAATGTATAAAATTGCATTTAGGTATAGCATGTACGTGTATATGAAAAGAATAAATTTGGAGTTTTGACAACAACCCATCTTCAGGATATCTATTTATATATACATGTGAATATGAGACATTTGGTATCTAAAAATTGCTAACCTTGAAGCAGTATTCAAAGTGCAAGTGAATGCTATTGTTGAATTAATAGATCTTTTCATGCCATCCTGCAGAGAACTGTGTCCATATATGTTTTAAAATTCTCAAAAGGCCCCCTCCAACATTGGTGATGGCAATGTTAAGTACAGCAGTTATGATAGTCAATATCTAGATAGCTCAAAAAGAAAAACTAGAAGTTCTGTTTGACCCAAGCATACCTCTCCTGGATCTATTGTCAAAAGAGCTAAAGTCATGTTATACTGAAACATGCATGCCTGTAGTCAAAGCAGGCCAATTTATGACAGCTGAGCCTGGAATCAGCCTAGATATCCATCTTTAGGTGCATGGATAAAGAAAGCTTCTGATAGGCCCAACATGATGGTGCATTCTTGTAAACTCAGCACTCTGGGAAGTTAATTCAGCAGGACGGTGAGTGGAAGCTCAGCCTGCGCACCTGAATCATCATTGTGAATTTCTTTCAAAGTAAGAAATATAGGGGGCCAGGGATTTAGCTCAGTGGTTCTGCCTCCTGCCTCGCATGTGCAAGGTCCTGAGTTCAATCCCTGGTACCAAAAAAAAAAAAAAAAAATCTAAAATTTCACCTTTGTATCTTTTTTATTTTCTTTTACAGAAATGAAGCTTGGAATCAACATGAGGAAATATTCCTTTGGACTCTAGATGCTAATGTACACATGAAACAAGATAGTTTAAAACCAGCTGAAAGCCTTGCTTGTAGAAACCCCCTGGTTGAGATTTTTTCACTAAATATGCCCATCATAGCTCACAGTGCACTGAAGCCATGTGAGTATTTGGGATCTGAAGAGAAGCTATACAAATGTAATGAACATAGAAGAACTTTCAGTGATTTCCAGTCTTTTCAGAAGCATGCAAGGACAAAGACTGGAGAGAAGCCTTATGAATGTGATCAATGTGGGAAATCCCACTCAGATCTTAGTGAAACAACTCACCTTAGAGAGAAGACCTTTGTATGTAAGAATAATTTGAAAGCCTCCAGCACATCCAGTGATGTTAAGATCCATGAAAGAAATCACAGTGAGGGGAAACGCTATGTATGTAAGCAATGTGGAAAAGCTTTTAGCACACATCGATATTGTCAAATACCTAAAAGAAGTCACACTGGGGAGAAACCCTATGTATGTA